CCCTGATAGTCCGGGCGGAATCTGTCGAGAGGGCACCGGTATTGACTGATTCATCCGAACTCGACTCGGTCTGCTGCAGAGACGTCGAGGGTTCGGAAGAGTCGTCTTGTTTCACGGTATCGGAAGACCCGCTAGAAGCACTGGCTGCGGCGGCAGCAGCAGCACGCATTTGTTGTCTTTGAGCTAGCGCGGCACTCATCCTTCGTCGCATTGCCTCCATTCCAGCCGAGTTCTCGCGTGTCAAGATAGTCGTCACTTGGTGGTGCGCTGAGGTGGGGGTCTGGGAGGACGCGTCCGTGCCACTTCTTCTCTCTCCCATGATTTCCTCTTCCGATCTTGTCGCCGTTCCATGGCCATCGGTGCTTCGTGAAGAGCGGCCACGAGGGGGCATTCCAAGACGCTGGGATTTTGACGACTTCATTATTGCGGATGCAGACACTCAATCGTCCAACTTCGGTGTCTGCAACCTCGCAGCAGTCGATGGGCAGGCATGGAGAGTAAAGTTGGGCAGGACGTGAGGGTCAGGTCTCGTGAAAGAGGATGGTTCAGACAGTCCAGTTGCGCGTGTCCGGCCGCTATGGCATACAGCGAGGCGCCGTCTTGTCCTGGAAGATGGATCAATCAGTCCCAGGGATGTTGCGAGGAGGTCCAGGTCAAGATACAAGAGAGTGGAGGGGTGTGAATAGGACAATGCCGAATGATGGGCGGACTACTGGCAAGGCGGAAACGATAGCAAGGTGGAAAAGTATGATAGTGCTAAAGAAACGGTTAATGATGAGGTGTGAGGTGTGAGGATAGTTTGAGGGAGAATACTGTGGTAGAGACAGCGACGGTGCGGTGCGCGACACCCGAATGGGTGTGGCGAGGTGGATAGCGTGCTTCGGAAGAGTGAATGGGTGGAAGTGGACGGAAGATGGAGTCAATCAGTCTCGCACAATATGGCAGTCTCAGTGTCGTGGATGTGTATATACAGTTGGAGACCAGAGGGAAGAGAACAGAGAACCGAGACAAGTCGACGACACAGGCCATTGTGCCTGGCCACTGGCCACTGGGAGTGCGGGAAGTTGAAGGAACGGGGGCTAGTGGCTGCTGCACGGTGACGTCTGCGCGTGTCTGTGACTAACCTACTCAACAGCACCAGCAACCACCCCGGCGCCAGGCAGTCCACTTAGGCCGCTAATAGACCATTGAGAGGCCGCTTAAGGACCATCCAAGAGCCACCCGAGAGCCACCAAGGGCAGCCACTGGGTGCCACCCACGCACCATCTGCAACGACCTGCATCACCTGGCCATTTGTCTCTCTGGGCGGGCGTCGTTCCTAGATATCCGATCTACAGTATACTCTCGGGCAGCTATTACCACGATTGCTAGTACGGCACGGACTACAAATACACAGAACTGATTCAATTCCCTCATGCTTCTGCATTTTACTATTAGCCGTCTCGCATCCGTCTGGGGCCACCTTCCGCTTTCTCCTCACAGATATAGGGATGAATAATGTAAGAGAGACAGAGAGCGCAGACTGCATTGTGTAACCACCATTTCCCCTCTCTCACTCCCCTCTCCCGTCTCACACTACCTACGTAACACAACCTTTCCTCGTGCATCTTCCCGTCCACATCTTTGTCCGAGTCAACGTCAGTGGCCCACAAACGTCCCTTTCGGTCGATACTCTCTTTCCAAGTCTCTCCTCAACTCTACCTAGGTGCTACTTTGGGGGCTTGCCACATGTTTGTTCTCAATCAAATATACCCGGTCCTGGATGTGACACTGTTGGCCATGGCTGTTACCTTGCTCCACAAGAAATGCGGCCGCATTTCGCCTCCTCTCTTTCCGGCAACAGTCAAGTAGGAACCAAGAAAAAAGGACAACAAGCAACGAGCACAACTACAACAAACAAAACAAAATGCGATCCTCCATAGACGACATTTGGGACCCACGGATCGATATCCAGAAGCTCAACCAGCGGACAGATATGAACGGAGAACAATCACATTGGGGACGAGCGCGTCCAGGTGGCCAGCAGACGCCGAATGCAGTGGATAGGCCATCGACGATCACCTCTTCCGCTCGTGCTGATCCCTTTCCTTTTGACTGATGGTTCCCGTTCTGAAACAACAGCATTCTGCAACACATTGTGGGTTTCGCTATTCTGCTTCATGCTGGTTCCTGGCCGTATTCGCACCTTCATCCGAGATCGTCAGTGTGTGGAGACTTTCTACCAGCCTTCCCATCAAATATACAATCAATCCTGATATTCATCTCGGATCGCTTCAAAGTTTGCTTTTTCCTCCTCCCATTTGCCTCCAACTCCCAGTCATAAGATACAAAATTCGACTGACCGGTGGCGCTCAGTCGACCTTGATCGATCCGTAGATGCGGTGGACAAAAACATACGACGATAAAAATCCGATCGTGCCTTATACAAGAGTCAGTTCAACCATCTACTCGGCATGACAGGGTTGTTAGATCTCTTACCAGTGAGAACAGCAACCAAGAAACTGAGGAGTGCCGAGTAGCCCACATAAAGAACCGCTCCGGTGAGTCCTCCAAAGGTGACCCTCGTTGCCCAGAATCCCAATGCATTCAGGAACACATACCCGCCCGTCATCCCCGCGCCAAAGAACGCCCTCCACTGCCAGCGATAATCCTCGGCACAAAGCAAAAAGTACACCAGCAGGATGGTGGTGCAAGCGCATGTCATCGCCATCAGCCCGTAGCAAATGAACAAAAATCCAAACATGTAATAGATCTTACTCGTCCACAGCGATGTCATGATAAAGTACAATTCCACAAAGATGGCGCAGAATGGCAGGATGCCCGTGAGCAAAAGGGAGGGAAGTGGCCGGAGGGAACGCGCCACAGGCGGAATCTGTCGCGGAATCTGGTTGACTCGCGTCGGCGGCTCAATTGCCGGCGATTTGAACCCATACCATGACCCGGCTACGCTCAACGGCACGCTGATGAGGAACCATATGGAGATGATGGCCAGCATCGTCGTGAACGGCACCGCGCCACTAGCTCCCTTCGCCCAGACAAAGAGGTTGAGGAGGAAGAATGTTCCAAATACAATGCCAGGGACGAAAACGGGTGTGAGTGCGATGTTGAGTTTCCATTTCTCTCCGCCAAAGGTCTTGTAGGCTCGCGCCGACACGTATCCGCCAATACAGCCAAAGATGGTGTAGAGCAGAAGACCAATGGATGTGAGCCAACCCCGGTTGGAAGGTGAAAGAAACCCTAACATGGCGAACGCCACCGTCATGGCTGTCATCACGAAGAGCTGCGTGCCATTCCCCAGTAACACACTCAATAACAGCGCATAGCGAGGCGGTCGGAAGACGTCGCCGTGCACCAGCTTCCAGCCCGAGTCTTCTTGGACGTCTTCATCAACAGCAGAGGTCCCCGAGAAATCATCCAGGCTGATGTTATCCAGTCGATTATATCTAGCAATGTCCTTGCGAAGCGCCCGGACCAAGACGGTGCTGACCATACCGATCAGGAAGACGACAAAGATGGCCGAATTGATGAGAGAAAACCAGTGAATTTTGGGGTCGACGATATGCAGCAATTTATCCCAGCGGGTGGCCCAAGCCGTGTCTGAAGGACGCCAGTAAACACTGTATGTATAGGTGACTGGTGTTCCTCCCCCTTCCTTCAGGACAAGAGGGCCGGAATCGAAAGCGCAACTTGCCTTGCCATCATCCGAGGCGTGAGAATCAGCGTAGGATTGTGGCTGGACTAGGACGCCAACTACACGGTATTTCAGTCCGCGAAGCCCTGCCGTGTGATAGTCGATGATGATATCCCAGTGGTTGTGTAGAATCCTCGTCCCATCCTCTTGCACTTTCCCCAGGGGAAACCCGGGACTGGCGAACCGTTCATGGGTGAGGGGATCCTCTCTCAATTCGGCGGCCGGCAGTCCATCAACAAAGAAATTCACGTTGTAGGCCTCCGCAATCCTCTGATTGACAAAGGCTGTTGATCTCTCATCAAACGTGTCACCCGTACAAGCAATTTTGCATGTCTGATTCAATCCCATCCACAACTGAAACGGGGAGCTTTGAATGCGGTCGCCGAATATGATACTACCCAGCGACTCTCGCCTGGGCTGAGGTCCTCCTTCAGGCTGGCAGAAGTGAAAAGCGGGATGGTAATAGTCGAAGGCAACCACGGCATGTATTTGCTCGTCGTGCCGGGATATCGAAGGTGTGAGGGCGTTGACATTTACTTCAAGTTGGTCGCCTCGAGAGTATGACGAGGGCGAAACGCCAGGGAGATAGAAGCATGCGGCTTGCTTGAGGAGCAGAAGGCCGACAAGGATTGGAGGGAGTTTGGGTGTCATAGCGAAGGAAAGCTGCGGTTAATTCGAGGGTGTGCTTTTGTTCGCGAAGGATCGAAGAGAGGTGGTCACCTCATGGTTAAGGGGCGCGGTGAAGGCAACAATTTAAAGCAAAGGACAAGGCTCGCAGTTATCACTTAGGTACCTCGTAGAGATTGATGGGTACTTAGTATATCAGAGATTCCAGGTGATTTTAGAGACAGTCGTGTCGTACCCAATGTTGGTCAGAGGTGTCTTCTTGTCCCCAGCCAACTCCTCGGCGCATGCGTACCAAAAAGTCCACGGACTTTCGGAGTCGCGGTACCGAGAGAACCTGGCCAACGCAAGCCACCGATTGCCAGCCTCGAGCATTTAAACACAGGTAATAATATGTCAATTCATTTTTAAAAACTCAGAGTCATTGATATCCGACGCTCCATCCCTCTTGCAAAGTTTTCGAGGTGATCCCACTCATCGCGCGTACTCTTCGTGTAGCCTTGGGGCTTCAACTTGTGTTCCAAAAGCACCTCCTTCGCCCTTGCTCCAAGGACAGATAAAGCCACCGGCTTCTGATCCAAGAGTCTGACAAGAATACCAAAGGCGCCAGCGTCGTATGTTTTCCCTTCCCATAATGCCAAAGAGGAAAATGAAATGTTCAGAGTCGGTGATTGCTTCAGTTCATTCATACCAGGCCGTCATACAGTGAGAGAGCCGACACAATGGTCTCATCCCGTTTACTTCCTTCCTTGAACTCAGCCATGTCGAGACTCCCATTCTCGTCCTTGTCCATCATTCTGAAGATCTTTCTTACTCTTTTCTCTGGCGTATCTTCATCTTCGGGCAATTTAACCATAGAACCCACCTGAGCAAATTGGTTAGCGTGATGAGAGAGGAAGGGAGAAACCGTCTTACCATTTTGTAGATGGCTTCCACGATTGCCAACATCTCGTCGTAGCTGATCTTCCCGTCCCCGTCGATATCATAAAGTTGGAATGCCCAGTCTAGTTTATCTTCCATCTTGCCTCGACTAGTCACACTCAAGGCACATATGAACTCCTTGAAGTCAATCGTCCCGCTTTTATCCGAGTCAAATACTTTGAAGACGTAGTCGGCAAAGGAGTTCGGGTCGCCGAAGGGAAAAAATTGTCGGTAGATCTTCTGAAACTCTTCCTTGGTCAACATGCCCGTGGGGCAGTCTTTCAAGAATCCTGCGAGATGTTGAGACATGTTCAGCCGCCATCAGGGCAGGGGTAGATCCTCGCCTGGCTGATCGGCTCAGATTAGACATCACATACCCTTGTACCATTGTTGTAATTCCTTCTTGTCAAAATGCGTCGACTTCTGCAGCTCTTCCAGTTGCTGCGGCGACAGTTTTGATTGTCTGGAGACGAAGTCAGCCCCAAGGACCCTCGCCGACTGCACTCCGGTGTCGAGCCAAATCACTGCGCTCACTTCTGACCCATCTTGATAGCCCACCTGAGGCCCAGCGGCCCGAGTATTCAATCACTAGTCTCGGAAACTGGGAGCAGAATGTTCAAACTGCGACGCGCGAGGTCGGCTTCCGACGAGCTGAGAGGGGACCGTAATCGGCTACGATTGCGATCGCGGGGCAGGGGCCTTGCGCAGGAGGAATGCGATTTGGACCGGGTAGGTTCTCTGTTATACGAGTCCAAGGAGGAGGAAGGACCAGAAGCAGACAATCTGGGGGAATTGTCGCGAGCGCAATGTTCCACAACGACTAAGTTTCTTGAGAGCCCAAAATCCGCAGGACAAATCCGTCTTGTAGCCTGACGCGGAGATCAATTGGTACCAGAAGGGAGTGACTGAGGCTTTGACGCCTGCTGCGTTTCCGCGTGGCGGGGAGTCAAACAGGCCAAACAAGCCTCGAGAACCAGTCAAAGTCAAATGACAAAGCCGCCTTTATCGCCTTCGGTGGCCGCTATTGCTGCTAAGAAATCTAGACTTCCGCATTCAAAACTAATCGCCAAAGTCTCATCTTGCCTGTGTGCTTGCTCCTGCTTGTCCAGCTTCTTTACGTGTCTGACCACAAACCCCAGGTCATTGGATGTCTTTGATCTGCTCCGAAGGCTTCAACCCGCCTCGACGGTTCGATTCGTTCCGACGAGCAGCTTGGCCTCCTGAACAGCACATTCCCTGTAAAGTATGGAAAGGATATTTTGCACTGTAATGCCTCGTTCATCGTTCTTTTGATGCAGGAACCCAGGCATCTTGGCTTTGCTCAGCTCCAATCGATGCTTTTCGCCCGGTTCATCGAAATGCGCTCTGTCCAACGCCCACAGTGGACAGATGCTGACCAAGCAGGTGGCCTGACACACGTTGTTGTGGGCACGAATGAGCCTCACCACAATCCTAGAACAGCCATCTGCTCCTATTCCAGCAATGCAGCTTGGTTTGTGTACAGCACATCAACCACATTGCTGAGCTTCTCGATCGTCTCTAAAGCCGCATCATAACCAGTATCCCGCTCAACTTCGTCGTAGACAATCAGGCAACCTTCTCCTTGATCCAAAACCCCAATAATGACTTTGTCAAGAATCATCTGAGACAGTTTCCTCTCCACTTGCTGAGTGTCGAGCCCCACCATTTTCGCGATGTGCTCAATCTCAACCCGGCTGAAAGGTTCAATGACCTTGATCAGATTCTGTTCCAGCATGGCATCGTATAGTCGCCGCAAGTGATTGCGGATGAAGACATCACTGCCCAGCTCGTAACGATAGTTGGATAAGGCTTGCTCGTACTCCTCTAGCGATCGATTCGAATGTGCTCTTGCCACGGCTTTCATCGCCTCCAGACTTGTACCAGCGTATTTTTGCGCTTGCTTTGATGACAAGAGATTATTGACATCATCGACCAGATTTAACATGATTTTGCACAGGAGCATATATTGTAATGCCGACGTTGCTCGGACAGTGTCGTCTTGAGCATGGTAACCTTCCAGCGCCTCGATGAAGTAGGAATATGCTGTGTTGAAGTCTTTGTCTTCGGCGTGCAGCATACCGCTTTGCATGTCCAACCCAGCCTGCAGGAGAGGAGGAGTATAGACCGAGGCGGCAGAGGTCCGTGCTGAAGTCAAGGCAGCCCGTGCTTTGGCTTGGTTGGTGAGAGCATGGTAAACCCGAGATTCGAGCAACTGCACCTCCACAAGCACTAGCTTGTCGTCCAGTCGCTTTAGCTCCCGCAACAGACCGTTAATCAGTGTGAGTGCATCATAGTATGATTGCTTCTGCATGTAGAGCCCAACCAGTCTAGTCTCGAGGTTCTGACGAAGGAAGGATCGCTTTTCGGAATTGGCCCAATCGATGCATGATTTGGTGGTGGTGATTTGGATCTCGATGGTGTTGGGAATGTCCGAGAAGAAATCAAGTAATTGCCGGACTAGACACTGGCGTTAGCAGCACCTATCAAATCGACTTTCTGTTAACGCACCAAGCTTCGCTGTTTTCGCTTTGGCGAACGAAGAGAGAGTCGACCTGCTCGTCTTGACCAGCTCTGACAGATCTTCTGACCGCTTGCTGTCTCTGTACAGCTCCCCAAGGCCTACCAGGGCATTTTCATAGACTTGTAAAGCAGCCTGGTCCGAACCCGGAGATTGGGCGAGCACTTCCTTGTAGACACTCTCTGCCTTCGCTGGATCAGATTTAGCCAACTTTTGGGCTTCGTCGACCTTGGCCGCCTTTGAAGGTGGAGGCGCCATATGATGGAAAGAACGTGAGGAAGGAAGGGTGGAGGAGAGGATAGCAGAGAGTAAAGGTCGATGGTAGCTGTGCAAAAAGGGTGGATGGACACTACGGTGTCTGCGACTTTTGAGGATGGGAAGGCTGCGACAGAGCGACGCAAGGCACGGAAAAGACGCGGCGAGGCGGTGGGCCGGGTTCCTCGTTATAGCCAACGAGTGGCCAGCCTTGTCTCTCAACCACCGCGGCGCAGGGGTCCAGCGCTTTTTCGGTCTTCCCCACAAAAAAAGTTCCTGCGCTCGACCACTACCTGGACATCGACTTTTCGGTCTCTACGCAGCGGACTGGTCTGTTTACTGTCTACGGACTACTAGCCACATGCTGCCGTCAACATGGTAAGCGCCTTCCACCCTTTTCATTTGTGTGCGCAGCTAATAGTAGCCTAGAAAATCAAGTCTCTAACGAGGCCGCCTGCGCCTCCGGGCGAGGGTGCTGTGCGACAACCTCGAAATCTCGACCCAGCCCATCATCCCTTCGAACGAGCTAGAGAATATACAAGAGCCCTCAATGCCGTTAAAATGGAACGTATGTTCGCCGCGCCGTTCATCGGACAGTTAGGTCAAGGCCATGTTGACGGGGTCTATTCCATGGCAAAAGATCCGGGGTCGTTGGAGAGATTCGCCAGCGGAAGTGGTGATGGTGTGGTCAAAGTATGGGACTTGACGACCCGCGACGAGTTCTGGAGTGTAAGAGCCCATGAAAACGTGGTCAGAGGTTTGTGTTGGACTCCGGAAAGGAAGCTACTGTCTTGCGCCACCGACAAGACTGTCAAAGTCTGGGATCCATACAACGGAGAGCAGAACGGAGTCCCTCTGGCTACTTACATTGGGCAAGGAGCGTTCACTGATATCTCACATCATCGACATCATCCTTCATTTGCCGCGTCATCCAGTGCAATATCAATTTATGACCTATCCAGACCCTCCTCTGCGCCTTCTCAAGTCTTACGCTGGCCGACCTCGACGGACACAATTACTGCCGTCTCTTTCAACCAGACCGAGACATCTATCTTGGCATCAGCGGCCCTGGACAGAGCCATTGTTCTCTATGACCTCCGTACCTCTTCGCCTCTGACCAAAGTGGTTCTGAGGCTAGTGTCAAATGCCATCTCCTGGAATCCAATGGAAGCCTTCAATTTCGCTGCAGCAAACGAGGACCACAACATCTATATATTTGACATGCGAAAATTGGACAGGGCGCTAAACGTGTTGAAGGATCATGTGGCTGCAGTCATGGATGTCGAGTTTAGCCCCACCGGCGAGGAGTTGGTGAGTGCTTCGTACGATCGGACTGTCCGACTGTGGAATAGGGATCGAGGGCATTCAAGGGATGTATACCACACAAAGCGAATGCAGAGAGTGTTCAGCTGTCGCTTTACGCCAGACAACAACTACGTTTTGTCTGGCTCAGACGATGGCAATGTGAGATTATGGCGAGTTAATGCATCGAATCGACAGGGCATAAAATCGGCACGACAACGACAAAAGCTTGAGTACGACCAGGCTTTGATCCGGAGATATGCTCACATGCCGGAAATTCGGCGCATCAAACGCCATCGTCACCTTCCCAAAACTGTGAAGAAAGCAGCTGAGATCAAAGGAGAAGAGCTGAAATCGATCAAGAGGAAAGAGGAGAATGTGCGCAAACATAGTAAGAAAGGCAGTATGCCCCGACACAGCGAGCGAGAAAAGATGGTGCTTGGAACCGAGAAATGAGCTTCCAAGATGGTCAATAGGATCATCGCCCTTGTGATGTTCACGGAGAGCAGTCGCACAACCAGGTCTAAAAGAGCCACGGAATCACCCAGCCTCGTTGGATTGCTGTGGCTGCTCCCAACTCGACTCGGAAGAAAGGCGCTGCTGATCGACCATCGATTGCACTGATATCATTCTTGAAAGTACCGATCCAGGGAAAGGAAGGCCCTCATCTGCGCCCAGCTATAGGACTAGCTCATATCAGGCTACGAAGGATTTCGAAGACCAGCTTCCATTGAAATCCTGGAAGACAGATGGGGTTTTGTGCAACCGAAATGACCGTCAGAATCGAATATTCAGGAAGACGGCATCGGAATAATGTTCCAGCATCCTGGAGGGATTGCTTATAGAATAAGGCTAGTGTAGATCTACGGTCATGATAAGTTTGGACTGGTGGTGACTGAGTCCATGGAATGAAGAAAAAACAAGGCTGGTCGGCTACGACGGAGGCAAAACCTTGGCAGCTGGGGAATAAAAGTACTTTGTCCCTGTCTTTATTTAATAGGGTAATTTCTCGAAAGCGAACAGTCGTCGGCGACCATTTTCCTCACCCGTAGAAGCAATCCGTTTTGCTGTGATTTATTTTGACCAAGATCGACAGCCTGCTGTCAAGAAACACACCACCAAAAGCAGAAGGGATCCTTTGATGGTTCGCTGCGTCTACCCTCATTCCTTTCCGCGCAACAGAGCCTCGCCGGCGACTGTCAAAGAAGATGGCTGGCTTCCAGGCCCATGTCTCGCTACTGAATTCGTTCCTGACGGAAATCGTCGATAGCATCAGAACCAAGAATGGACAACGCATTACGGACCTCATTCAACTGGACTTCGACAGCTTGGGTCCGGAGCGTCAAAAGCCATATTCCGACCTCAACCAAGAGCTCAATCGAGACCATCCTCCGCAAAGGGACGGAGAGCTCGTGGCCAGATGCAAGCAGACCGTGTCGCAGGACGAATTCGGGACATTCAGCACTTCGTTCTGCGAATGCATTATCCAGTATTTTCGCTACCTTCGAGACTTCACGTCTGCCGATAATCAAGCCAAAGCCACCAAGATTCGGCAATTGACAAGGTGAATGGGCCATGACTCCTCTCCGTCGACTCGGTACTGACTGCGTCGACAGCCAGTGTGTGACGGCTTTGGGAGACACCAAGTACGGGATCATAATGATACCGATTGTACTCTCCTTTTCCCGCACCCTTGCAGCCATAGCCACCAATCTGGATCGAAATCCATCCTTGATTCGGAATCCCAGCCTGGCTACCACGCAAGACGCCGAAGGTGCTCCGGGCAAAGTGAGCTTCGTGGAAGACGCCGCCAATGTGCTAAGAGAGGCGTTTATCAAGTGCTTGGCTGGCAGCCCTGGGGTTCCGCGGACATCTCGGCCTTCACCAGATGATAAGCGTGTTGGAATCTACCTGACAGCAAATTCGTGCCTGAAGCTGCTTCTACAGTGTCGCCGCCTGCGTAATGCTCAGCAAATGCTTGCAAGTATCGACGTCCAATCCCCGCCATTATCCTACTACCCGGCAGCGCAGCGGGTCACGTACTTGTACTATCTCGGCCGATTCCATTTCGCCAATAACCATTTCCGACGCGCACAGAGGGTGCTCCAAATGGCATACGAACAATGCCATCGCCAAGCTATTAAGCATCGCAGATTGATATTGATCTACCTAATAGCAGCAAACATATGCCTCGGTCGGTTCCCCTCTTCAACACTCATCTCGCGTGCAGAGGCCAGCGACATTGGATCCAGATTCACTCCTCTCTGCAAGATCATACAAACTGGTGATCTTGGATTGTTCCACCGGTACCTAGATCTGGATAGCGAGTCTGGGCAGTGGTTCCTCAAGCGGTCCATCCTTTTCCAGCTCCGTAACCGGTGTGAAATCCTTGTATGGAGGAGTCTCATCCGCAAGGCTTTCCTGCTTGTTGGGTACATGGGTGAGGAGAAGAAAATACCGTTCCTCAGGTTGAACTATGTCCATCACGCAGCTGTATGGGCGCTGAGCAGGCAGAGAGCAATACTCATGGCGAATGGACTTAGCCCACACTCTTCATCGTCGGATGAGAAATACGTCGACCCTGAGTTTGCAGATATGGATGCAGCGATCAACGAGACGGGGTTTGACCCAGAAACGGGACTGTACATTGACGAATACATCGGCCAGTATGTACCATACACCAGCGAAGGAGAGGAGTCGCCAGCCATGAATGAAGTAGAATCTGTTGTCCTTAGTCTGATCCAGCAAGGTCTACTCAGGGGCTTTGCTCTGCACACGAACCCTCGCTTCGCAATACCAGGAAGTCAAAAGGCTGGGGGACCTATGAAGGCAGGATTCCCTGAAGTGTGGAGCGTGACTGCAAGTAAAGACAGCGGAGGACCGGTGCCTGGCTGGGTGGAAGAAGAAAATCTGAATGCAGGGGGAGGAGAGAGAGTGGTGAGGATATTTGGAGCTAGACCAGCAGGTGCATGAATTGGTGCGCCTTGCGGTGCACAGCATGACTGGCTGATGGACTGGCTGATATCATGAGTGCTTCTAGAAGGAGTAGATGACCCTGATGCGAACGATTTTCTTGGTCCAAGTTCTTGGTAAAGGATTGGGACAGGTTCGGCAATTCCCTGACGAGCACATAAATGCCTCGTTTTTTTTTTTTTTTTTTTTTTTTTTTTGGGACGCCCATGGCAGGGAGGCATTGATTGCAACGCATTGGGGGCTAAGGAGAAACGGCATCAAAGGGGGAACTCGTGGAGCTTGTGGTTTGCCAGCGAGGCTGAGCATTGACTGCCCAGGTGGGTGGGTCGAGCAAGTCGAGCAAGGCGAGTTGGAGCTGGAGGCGCAAGGTCGACTTTGGAGTTTGTCGTGTTCGTCATGCCACGCTTTGCACGCGGCAACACGCCGCCATCTGCCTGCACGCTTTGATCACCCACATCCACTTCCACGTCTTCCAAGAAAGGACCGGCAATGGCCGTATTGTTGCACTCCTTCTGATGTCAACCTGTGCCACCAGATCGGAAGAGTCTCTCAGACCTTGACAGCTCCTCGCCCAAACCTTGACTCATGCGTCAAGTTCCATCCCCCCCTTGGAGTACCGAGTAGGGCGAAGCTCCTAACTGCGCCCCGTCACGAACGGACTCGTGGCTACAGTAGCATGCTGCCACCCGCCATCGCCATTGGCTGCCTCTCCCGCGGATGCTTGTCGGCCATGGGCGTGATGGGATGTGGTGAGCTCTAGGGAATACGGAGCACTTGTCACCGGTGCTTGTAGCCTGGATGAAGGGTGCCTTGTCTTGCTTGTCCTAGAAGATGCGCTCGTCTGAGACTAACTGCTCATGCCCCCAGGGTACCCACGGCCAAAATCGACTCTGATGCACGTCTCCTCTCTTAAATCTTTCATCGACCCGTCCTCCCGAGATACCAACTCGCCGGGACAAAGAGTCTAACTGGAGCAACAATGTATCTCAATCATCTCTTGCTCTGACATCCCTCCTGCGTGCGGGCTTGCTTCTCCCACCCAGCCAACCCTCAGCGGTATGAGACAATGGCCACCCTCGGTAAATAACCACGACCCCGACTGCTGTTGAAGAGATTGAAGTTGCCTTTCGCCGTTCCTCCACCATCAGTCGTCCTGCCCAACATGTCGGGAGCCGAGATCGGCATCGCCGTTATTGGGGCGGTAGCAGCCCTGATCACAGCGTACAAAGACGCCGGCGCCATAGTTGAGAATATCAAGGAGAGACGTAAGGCAAAAGGCGCTCTACCCCCAAGTGTGGCGCTGGAGGAGTCTCTACAAGAAGGCCACCAAGAGATTGAGAAGATTACAGCAAAGGGCATACAGCGGTTCGGGCCAACTTTCGAGCAAGGAGATGGTGAGCACTATCCTGGAACTTGTTACAGCGCGCTCTGGGGACTGGAAACTGGGGACATGGCGCTGACTTCTCTCTCAAGATATTGCTCATCGGGCTCTCCAGAGCCTGACTATTGAAGTTCAGGCCTCCTTTCTGCACCACCTAATGCTCGCTAGCAAAGATGACAGTGTCATCGACTTCGAGGCTTGTATTGATTCCGCCATTGAGGCCCGGTTGCGCGCGGTTACAATCCTCAATGAACTCTATTTGCGTCAACAGAAGCCCTCCAGCCCTGTCTCCGAACCTACGTATGGGCTGTCGGTAAACCCGAATCTGCCAGTCAAAATATCACGACCCTTTGCAGAGGAGACGAAGGAAGTTTCCGAGGCTTCGGCACCTACGGAACGGAAGAAGCGTTCTAGCCTGACCTCCGGACCTGTGCCTCAGACACCACGAAACCCGCAGCTGCCAGCAGCGAGGATATCACGGTCCTCTCCAGATGAGATGAAGGAAGTCATCGAGGGACCTGCACCTACCGAACGTAAGGAGCGCAGTGGGACTCTGGGGTCCGAGACACCTCCAGCCCCAGGGGACGTTCCACGCAAGCCGTCTTGGAACGTCTTCAAGATCTTGCATCGAACTTCATCGGCAGAAAAAGAGAATATATCGACACCGCCACAAGCGACCTCAAGACCTCCCTCATATGTCACCTCCCCCACATCACCTTCGATCAGGTCCTTGGATGATCCTCGCAGATCCCAAGTCATGACTCCACCTATCAGCCCAGTTTCAACCGTTTCGTCCATTGATGTGCTTGCTGCGGCCGGCTTTTGCAAAGGGGCATACTATGTTCAGCAAGGAATCTACGAGAAGGGAGTCCAAGTCTCCATGAAGAACATGGAGTGGGCATGTCATTGTCGAAAATGTCCGTTTGCAACACCAGCTGATCGAGACGAGCGAGGACGAGCACGATTCGACGATAAAGTCCACTCAACTCGGAACCTACGTTGGCGGTCTCTCGTGCTCTTCAAGTCTCACATTTCCTCTAGCCAGAAAAAGTCGAGGCTATACAGGTGTCTGCTGTGTGTTCTTCTTGGCGATTCGTCGTCCGTCTTTCAAGGGGAACAGCATCTCTTTGAGCACATGTTCCATCATCAAGGCGGGATCGTGAATGGCGTGGAACTTTGGGGACCGATATGTCTGGATCCGGGCGGGGCGAGAATGGGCTCTGAAAGAACATTCGACATCTGCTTCGCGGAGAACCCGCGATTTGCTCTCCCGGAAGGCGCCTTTGAGATGGGCGTCGCCACCGAGATTGTGGAGGCTGATGGGACGGAGATCTATGATGAGGATGTGTTCAAGAATCAATGGGTGGATGAAGGACAGAGATGAGATGGAGGAACAATGTTGTGCCCATATACGAATTTAGAGGGGAAGCAAGCATCTTTCGGATTCTATTGTTCCTCGGTATCTTCTGAACTGGGACAGGAATTCTGCACTGTATAATACTATCTTGGACCCAGGAGATGATTGACAGAGTACAGGACGGCATCGCATCATCAATATGAGAGACATTGAATTTTGCGAAGACGTCATTGGCCAGCGAGGTATACAGCACTGAGGAAAATGGCGATTGCCCCTCCCTTCACATTGGCCGGGATGGACAACGATTAGGACCTACTTGTACCGAGTACAGTCCACAAGTGGTTGCTGAGATCCTGAAGACGGGAGACTGGCGCCAAGGAGAGGAGGGAGAGGCGCTGTGGTGCAGGAGTTGAGAGAGAGGAGGCGCACTTGTTCCTCGTCGTCGTCGTCGTCGTCGTCCTCTTCTTCTTCTCCCGCCTTGTCCCCTCCTTTCTTTCGTCCGTCTCAGCCTCATATGTTTTGGATTCATTTTATTTCGCCGTGGGGCGCTGGGTGCTGGGTGGCCGGCCCGCAGAGCCTCGTTGCAAAGAAATGCACCAGTACTACATAAAATGTTGCGGCATCGATCTTTCCCCGAGATTTCCACCACTTGGGCAGGGCACGGGAAGCCGCACCCCAGAACTCTTTGTCTCTTGGTTGGTTGGTTGGACGATTCGGTGGTGTGGAATGTGGAGGCTGTGGTGCGATCGCGAGGTTTATTTGTAGCACACCCGCCCTTCCCTTCCCGTCTGCACGAGCATAAGGGCCGTGCTGGCGTTTTGTATCCCATTGGCCCAATCAGATGGGTTTGGTTTCAGCGACTGCGTCTTCTTGGGAGGGTTGGTTGGATCGTCATCAGGCTCCACAGCCCATGATTTCTATTACCGGCCTTTACCGCTGCTTTTGCTCGTGATTCACGGGGTCCGACGCATGCATGCATGCACACCGGGCCCTTGGTGTTAGCGATGCCTGCAGCCATTTGAACAAATTTGAGAGTCACCACAGAGAGAGAGGTGCAGCTCACAGCCTCATGCGGCTCACACAGAATGCATCGAAGGAGCTCGACAACCAACCGTTGATCGATTTCCCCTTTGCGTCGAATCGCGGCGTCTATACCAGCAGCGACCAGATGGTGTGAAGAGGGGGGTGCCTTTTTTGGTACAGAGTACCCATAGTCCGATGCTAACAGCCTCATCAGCCATCCACGCTTCCCATTTCCGTCCTGATGGGTGCACGCCCCCAGGCGCTGCAGAGACATGTTGTCGAAGCACTTTATGACACTGGGTGAGAGACAGATAGCTAGAATATCTATATATTCGAGGCTGTCGATCATGGAGACGATTCTTCTTCTTTTTTTGGCCAAACCACTCGCGAGGAGCAGCAGCAGTAGCGACGACGACAACATCCCCCTATTTGAATCAGTTCAGCAAAACAGTTCTTAGATAGACGAACCGACGTTATCGTTCAGCGCCGCGAACAACGAAGAAGACAAGAGCATGTCGAGTGGCACCGAGATGCGAAACCTTGAGCTGATTGTCGCCAGCAGCCGGAGCTCGCGGACTTTCGTCGTCGACCCAAACGAGTCGAAATCCGACCAACTGCTCCAGCTCATCCTGGACGAGCTGCAGCTGCAGAACAAATCCAAGACCCCTCCTGAAGTCCCCCAAATCAAGACCAGGGACTTTGCCCCTCGGAGGGCCGAATTGGCTCGAACCGCTACTACCGGCAGCACATCTTCTCTGATGTCTCCCACAGCCTCACCGGAAGATAGATTCTACGAAAAGCTCTTCGCAGCTGTTGTGGCCTTTGCAGCTTTTGGAGGGTCCATCACCTTTCAGTGCATCTTTCAGGCGGTTCCCGCGCAGACCGAGAACCCGCAGGTCACGCCCGAACACGCGCGGACATTTATTGCAATCAGCTGGCTGCTTTTCACCATGGACTTGAGTCTAGCCAGTATCTTGCTCGCGGCAATGTACGTGCACAAGTCCTGGTCCAAGAAGACGCAGCAGGATTTAGAGACGCAACCAGATTCGAAGGTCTCGTGGACCAAGGTCAGATTTCAAGTTTTCCGATACGTGAACCTCATTGCGGCGCTTGTCCTACCTCTGGGATCGGTGGTAGCGCTGGTGTTTGCTGCTCTTGCCGTGTCCGTCTTCTCGGTCAGCGTAGGCAAGACAGCATTGATCTCAGTCATTGTTTTGGGGGCCGCCATCGTTGTTTTGTGGGTTGGCTTTTGCATCAGGCAGTGGTGCACCAGAGGGCGGACAGCATCACTGCCCCGCCATGTATGAGGCAAGCACCAATCCACCCTTGTGTTCTTTTCCCTAGATGTACTGAGGACTTAGCCGTCGTAATGTATCAATCGTTCCGGGCGAGCGTGATTCAGAATGTGTAACAACATCAAAAGTGGTTTCAGATATTGGCGAACTGAGACAGCAGCGGGAAGCAAGGGGGCGTAACTGCTCAGCCAGCGACAGGGGGGCTCATTAGCCTGAGAGTTCCACCGTATCGGATCCGGGGCTGGTTTGAGCTTGGACCACGCAGTGGAGGAGGAGATAAGGGTCCATCACCAGCGTGGGACTGGCAAGGCGAGGGGGTCTGAGCGTGGCCGACCATGCCGAAGATAGAATCTGGACATGTGCTTCGGGAAGACACCGGGCAGGCGAGGATCAAACCACGCGACACTGAGTTTGGTGCTTTAGCGAGGACGGAGCACGGTGGACAGAGGGCGCGGCAAAAAGGAGTAAGGAGCAGGTCGAGGTGGATTTGGGAGAGATAAAAGGATAGATAGGGATGGATAGTTATGTATTAGTGGTAATGGGTGAGAGTGAGAGTTCTTATTTTGAGTTTTCGCAGTGGGCGGTGGTGTCTCTGCCGCAAAAGGACGGTCGTTGTTCCTCGGTCATTTCATCAAGGGTCTGTGCGTTCTGCCTGCCCGGGACATTGCCCACTTCCAGCCTTTGCTCAAACCCTAACGGAGGAGATATGGGAGGCAAATAAGGGCTGGGTCGGGCCCTCTGGCTTATGGTTCGAGTCCATGCGCACCCGCAAGTCTTATCTGTACGTACTATGCTAGAGTGCCCAGGTACTGTACCCGGTCCCTGCGTATGGATACCACATGTACGAAGTACTCCGTCCCTATAGCCAAAGGAAAAGAGAATGAAAGGTAATCAATCAATCCATGGTGCTGCTGCCCACGTCTCTGGCTGGCGATTGGCGCAGTGTGTTATTGCTCCTGGTGAGCGACTGGCGGGAGGGGCAGATAGTATTCACCACTGATAGTGCCAGCTCACAGTGCAGCCTACGGCTCCTACGTACAGCCCCTACAAGGTACAAGACCTACAGTCCTTACCGGCTCTAGGCCACGGCAGCACCTACGGGTAACCCAACTAGTTCTCTCTGGTGCCCCAAACAGTTCCCCGTCTCTCTCATTCAGTCACCACATCAGTCGATCGAGGCGAGTCCCTATTGTCTCTCTCCCCATCTCACGCTCGCCTCTCTCTCTGGGCTCTCCACTCATATCCACTGGCACCATCCATCCATCTACTCCGGACAGACCATCCCACTCTTTTCTTCCCGCTGTGCTTCTTCTCGGCCTTTTGGAGCAGCTATCAACCAACTGCCCAGCATTTGCTCCATCCTGACTTATCAGTTGCGCCACCGAGTCTGGCCTCACCCACCACTCTCCACTCCCATCGCTCTCCTCTCATGTCTCATTCCCACTGCCTGCGACCGCGATAACCTTCCTGCCCTCCAAGGGTCTAGTCCACCTACACCTCCTCGCTCTCACCTTTGTATCTCGCCCAGTCATGGCGCTTGCGCCTGTTCACCTGATCGTCTTTTTCCACCCTCGTCACCCTCGTCAACCTCTTCACCCTCTGCCTCTGCCACCACTCCGCTACTAGTCGGCTCTTCCCTCTCCAACTTTAATCAATTGACGCCTTGTTCATTCTTCTGCGCGCCTCCGGCTGACGACCTCTACAACTCCTACACCTGAGCTTACCTGCGCCGCCCGACCGTCAAGTGTCTCGCGACTCGACGTCCCATGGCCGTGGTGCAGAGTTCTAGAAATTATCCGCCTTGACAGTTGCTCTCGAAGCTATGACGAATCTCGAAACTCTCCTGCCCTGAAGCCCGAACCAACAGCCCCCTTGGCCAAACAGCAACGAAATGGCCGTCATCGAATTCCTCGAGCGTCGCATATACCACGATGACCCGCCCGACCTCCAGTCGCGGGTGGCTACGAACCCAACCCTGATCGTGTCTTGGTGGTGCACATTGTTCGCCCTCACAGCCATCCTGATCCGTGTCTTTGGACGATGGGTGCGCACCGAGAGGCTGTTTCGGGAAGATAAGATCATGTTCTACAGCATCATTCCCCTTATGATCCGCATGGGTCTGGTACATGTCATTCTAATCTGGGGGACCAACAACACAAAAACCGAGGGCTTGACATCTTTACAGGTACACCACCGCGAGATTGGGAGCAGATTGGTCCTGGCGGCGCGAATATTCTACGCCGCATTTATTTGGATCGCCAAACTCACCGTTCTCGAGTTCCTCAAGCGCCTCATTGGGAAGTCGTGGGCCAAGTCGTACGAAGTCGGACTCCGATTCATCTATGGCTTTCTGGCTGTCACTTTTATTGCCGTCGTTATTGGCACCCTGTCCGAATGTCAACCCTTCTCGCACTACTGGCAGGTCGTCCCGGATCCGGGCCCCCATTGTCGAGAAGGGTTGGTGCAACTAATTGTCATGGGAGTGTGCGACATCGTCTCTGACGTGGTCCTCATTGTCTTTCCTATCCCCTTGGTCTGGCAATCCTCGATGCGCGTCCGAAAAAAGATCTCTCTCGTCCTCCTCTTTCTTCTGTCAACCATCCTCATCGCCATAACCGCTTATCGAGTTCCTTCCACCATCTCACGCCGCTCGTCGCAGCAGTACCGATCCCTATTGGCGTCACTGGAAATCCTGGCCGCTGCAGGAGT